TTGGTCGAGCAGTCCCTGCCTTCACCCGCAAATGGATCAAACGAAACAGTCATGGTCCGCGATTGCTCCTGCCAGACATGCCTTTTACCCTGCTCATGGTCTCGAAAACGACGTATTTGGGCATCATTTTGAGCTATAGGGCCTGGGAAACGGATATTGTCAACAGACGAGTTCAAGCAGCTCAGATGTGTTTCCATGTCCTCAAGAAGTGGTTCACAGCACAGGTGATTCCATCCACGATTCGTTTCAGATTGTACCACCAATGTATTGTCCCCACTCTGATGTATGGTATCAATGAAATGGGCATCACTGCTAAGGGTTTTCGCAAGGCTATTAGCACCATCAATGTCCATTTTCGTCGCATGGTTCGTTCTCCTGTGCACCTCATACATGAATTAACTCAGGATTTTTTTCAGCGCCTCAATCAGACTCCGCCTTGGATTCTCATAAAGAGCCACAATTGTCGACTGCTTCAAGCTCTTGCTACCAAACGCCAGCAAGCAGTTGACCCAGCAATGGCCGATGTGGATGCACCAGATGTTATCGTTCACACCCCAGCCTATCCTATGAGTCAATTGGAGGGCTTAACAGACACAGTGCCATCATCTACTCAGGATCCAGCTTTGACTTGTCCAGAGTGTCAAAGACCATTTAATCAGGCCGGTTTTCTCAAACGTCACATGCGCATGATGCATCAGATATCATATTTGCCAGAGGATGTCTTTAATGCTTTGCATGATTCACACGATGGACTCTCGACATATATTCATTGTAGAGTCAACTTTTCCAATATGATTGCCTTGAAAGCACATATCAATAAACATGTCTGTCCACATTTTGATCGACTATAGGCTATGGGGACACCCATTATGGCCAGACCGGATGTTTGCATGCATCTACGACATCGTTCTGTTACTGGCCTCATGCTGGACAAGGGCCTCTGTTCAGAGCTTGCGACCAGATGCACTTTTTGTCATATATAGGTTCATGCCAAAGCCATGTCACGCCATTACCGCGACAGCCACCCTGATTTGCTACGACATACACAGATGCATCAAGGCTTCATTCATGGCCTTGCCAATTTTGGGTCAGGTCGTGGAGAATGCCCCATGTGCCGCATCAAGACCCAGAATATTCAGAAACATCAATGTTGTATAATATACCAATTTGCAGCCATATCTTTCAGCCAGAGCACTTCCCCACGATGCCATGTATGATGCGTCCCTGGTGTCGCACGGCCCAACCAAGTGATGACCATCTTCCGGATGAAGCACCGACACCCGCTCCGGCACCCAAGAAACCGCGCCTTTCCAATCCCAATCCAAGACTTCACATGTCCATTATGTCAAGAGACCATTGGACGCAAAGCAATCTCCGCACTTTGCATTAGGTTAAGAAGCCCAAGAAATTCCGTTTCAGCCCTCAACATGACATGATGCCGGGTCGACTCAGCTGCATACATTGTAAAACATCGTTTACCATGCCCTTTGCTCTGACCAATCATTTTGACAAGGGCACTTGTCCCCAACTGGTCTTGAACTGGGTAGGGGACACCCACTATGGACCTCCAGTCGACAGCTCACATACTCCAGATGGGACTCCGGCCATGCAAATGAATCAGGTACAGCATTATAGCTGCGGCCTCATCCTTGGTAGCACAGCCACCTCTCGGCATTGTTCGACCATTGACATTCCATCCAGAAGCAAGACTCCTGTGGTACGCATATACAGCAACTTGGACGACCAACTTCCATCGTCTGCCGCAGGTTCAACTGTGCTGGATTCCGACCTACGCCATTATGGTACAGGTTATCAGCCAGATACTATGCAGATGGGCCTGGACCTCAACCAATCATGACACTTGGTGGGACCCCTCAGAACACAACATACACGGTACTGTGTCCTGGGCTCGATCGACTATTCCCTCACACGTGTATATGTCCGAAGACGATCTCTCATTTCCAGATCTCCTGGACGTATTGGGATCCCATGTCAAGAGGCCCAGAACGCAACCTGGAAGCGACTCTACCCAGATCAGTGGCAAGGGACGCTCCAAAGGCCGTTACAACTCCTCGGATTCACCATCGACGTCCGAACGAAATCTACTCGTTCAGGAAGATATACTCAATCAAATGAATTTAGACCGCAACTTCATGCTCTTCATTCAGGCCGGAAAAGGGTCTATACTTCCCAGCCTACTCATGGCATCACAGGAATGGCATCTGCAGAAGCAACAAGCTGGAGTTACCTGCCCCCTGAGGCAGGTCTTGTTTTTGAAGATGGTGGAAGAGCTGGTGCAATGAACCTCGGCTCTCCAAATCGAAAACAAAGAAGATGCACTTTGCACAAACTTCAGGAGCAAACTCATCCTGACAGAAGACAATGCCTAGAATTACATGGCCTAGGACGCCTCGGCAAAATGCCTTCGGCCCACCAACCAGGAGACGCTGCCGGGAGATCGCATTCGAGAGATCCTGATCCTCCTCACGAGACTTGGAGCTCACACCGAGCTGAGACATCGGTTCTCTCCACTACGACCGTTGGACAAGAATGGAATTCCCGAGGACTCTCAACTGATGATCCCATGGCGACTGGACATCTCCCTTCGGTCAGCCGAGAGCAGCCAGCTCTTTGGGGCCTTGATGGCTCTCTACGGCAATGGCATTGGCCAAATGATCTTGCTTCGCATACGACCAGCAACACTGCAGAGATCCCAGTTGGCCCAAGCAGTGGCCCACAGAGTCAGACGCTAACACATCGATTGTTGGAGCACGCTTTTCACAATGGTGGGAATACCTACTTCCAGAACAGCGTGATGCTCTGTCAACTTTGGGCCACCATTGTGCTTGAAGACTTCACCCCTGATTGGTGGGGTCCTTGGGGTCGACACATACAAAATTTTTGATGGATGATTCAGGTGTCTTGATCGACCTAAATATAGATGATCCTTTTTTTCACGTTTCATTGCGGCTGGCTCACAGCACATCCACCGGGGAGGCAGCAAGATACTGCAGAATATGCAGGATGGTTGAGAGAACAATTTTTACGGAACACCATGGGGAACCATCCAAAAGGGATGTAAAAATAGATTGTCGGAAGAAGTGGTTGACAGGGGCGCCATCTATGCCCCAATTCTGCTTCGCTGCCCTGACCAAAAAGCCTGCCATCTGCAAGATTTGATTTACCATTGCCACCAACAAGCGCCACACACAGTGGCACTCACATGTGCAAATCCCATGGTATGCCTGCAGATTAAGAGATTTCCAGGTCTGACTCACAAGAATGAGATCTTGATCCCCGTACTGAGGTCATGCTTCCTGTTTTTGCCGCTCCTTGCGGCTTGCAAGTGCAGTGGATTCAATTCCGGATCGTTGGTATGACCTTGCACCTGGGACCGATTCCTAAAGCCGGGCACTACCAAGGTTGCCTGGTTACGAATCACTTGTCCTGGAAGAGCCGGCTATACGAAGAACATAAACAAGATTGGTTAATGCCACAGAAACACCTTGCTCAATTTTAAAGAAAGCCGTTCTTCCACCCACGATCCATCAATAAATGCACACAATTGCTAGCATCCATTTTCAATCAATAATAAATACCCAATCTAAGGCTACAGAAGCTCTCGAAGCTTCCACACAAAAAATATTGCCTAACACCGACCAACTCGCACTTAGCCAGCAATAAACCAAAAAAAGAAAATATATTATCGAATTATATTAATTTTAACCCATATAAATAATATTAGTTCAATAAAATCATCAAATTTAAATATATACCCCGTTGTACTGGCGTCCGGGGTCAGTACCGGATAATTTTCAGGGATTGACGGTTTTTTAGCCAAAACCGGTGGATAAATTTGAAGGCCAGAGGGCCAACATAAGACCCCCCAAAAAAAGTGTACACAACCAGTGCAGATAGATAATTTTGAGAAGGCCTGAGGTTAGCAAGCTAAACGAATAGGATCGAAGAATCCCCCCCTCAAAAATAGATGCTAATCGACAAACGAGACAAAAAGAAACGATCCCAGGCCCAGTTTTTTTTCCAACGCTCTATGTGCTCTGTGGTGGTCTGCAAAACTAAGGATTGTTGCGGAAGTCTGCAAACCTTAGAAGGTTGGTTGTGGTTGTGGTTGAGGTGGGTTTGGAATCAATGGATCCAACCACTTGCAAAAGAATATCGATTGCATAGCCCGCAGTGCTGGTCGAACTGTACATTTTGGCCGGTATTTTGTGGATTTGGCAGCCGCTCTAGACTTAGGAATGCCAGCGGGAGTTTGTCAGGGTACGATGCCCAGAGCGACCGGAAAACAACTCCTCTATTGAACGGAACTTCTGCATTAAAATTATTTTGTCCAAATGTCAACGCACCTTGTTTTTTTTCGCTGCCGTTAAACAATTTTTTTTTAATTTCAACATATCCCACAATTTATCATTTGTATATTTCCCCAACCTCAATACCAAGGAAAATATCCAAGTTGTTTTGAAGACGCACATGTTTCACACGTGTATTAAAGCAATGCTTTAACGTTCCGTCGACAAGTTTCGCCGACAATTTTTTAGCTCTCTATAATTATAACGTCCATAGAACGGAAAATTTAACGAGTGGAAATCTAACGAATGTCCAACGAACGACGTTCTATCTTTTCTTTCCTTTTCTATTCCCCTTAGCGAATAGATAAAATTAAAGCGTCTATTCTATATATTTTTGATGCATTAATTCCATTTATCCCCCCCCAAAAATATTAACCAATCCTTATTTAAATTAATTTTTTTAAAAAACAAACCCCCTAAATAAATTACTAACAAACTAACACACAAATAAATTCCAAACACTAACCCACTCAATACGACCCCTTATTTTTAATCTAAATATATATATATATATTATCTATATATAACATATATCAATATAATCTTCATATTATCAATAATTTATATAAAAATAATCGAAATCTAATTTATAATATCAAATTATATATATATATTCTTTTGTATTCAATTCATCAATAAACCCAAATATAACCCTGAAATCCAAATCATTCATATATTATTTTGAAATATAATATATAAAATATATTATATTAAATATTCAAATATTTTGATTACCCGATACATAGAAATATTACTAAATATATTATATTCCCGTAGTTTTTCTTTTGCAGGTTTATTCGGTTCATTCTTTAAGCCCGAGGATTTTGCAGTACCTAGTATTGGCAAGTTCTGATATTGATCCATTGTGTATATGATTCTCCTGCCTTGAGAACACGATCGTGTTGAAAGGCAATCGCGAGGTCTTTGGCTCCCCTTCCCGAGGAGTCCACTGCCTTGTCAATGGTCTCAGGTCAGTCTCAGGGTGAGTTTCATATTATGAGACAATGGCCTTAGCATCAGCACCGTGTGCCAGGAGCAGCTGGACCTCACTTCCAAGGAAGTTTCGCTGTTCTTCAAGCAATCTTTGCTCGAATCTTTCAAGTATGTTTGCCTCTTTGCCTTTCGTTTATTTTCGTGACAAATCCATGACCAGTAGCTGTATCTGCGCGTCCAGCTGCGGCAGCTGCCATCAGTGGCGTGTGGCCTTGGTCCATTACATCAGAACCTAATAGCAATGGCCTCCAACCTGATAGCGATGGCCTCCAACCTGATAGCGATGCCCTCCAACCTAAGAGGGATGGCCTCCAACCTAATAGCAAAGGGGCTCCAACCTAAGAGCGATGGCCTCCACCCTAAGAGCGATGGCCTCCAACCTAATAGCGATGGCCTCCAACCTAATAGTCATTGTGTCATCTTCAAGAAACCTAGCAACTTTGGTACGCGCATGACTAAGACACATACCTCGCGAATCTTGCTTCTCAAGCTTGGCACGAGCACTCAAGAGAGTTGCAACGGCTGCACCGCGTCCCCTGTCACATCAGCATGCTGTGGCTGTTCTGGGCAGCAACGTGGGAGAGTGTCAGTTGCTTAGACTTCTTCATGGCTGACGGAAAAGCCACTCCCGGCCTGCGGGCCGCATGATGCAAAGCTGTACATCCTTGCGACACGTGGAAATCAAGTCAAACATGAAGCACATCAGACATCATCAAACAATGTCGTGTTCAAAATGATGTTCATGCCTTCAGAGTCAGGGACTGAAAGCGCCGCCTAGCATGGTGACAGTTGCTGTGAAAAGTCGCGCGTTGAAACACATGGCCTTCTTTTCCAGCAGGGCCTTACACAGCTCATAGCGAGCCCCTGAAGCTGCAAGGATCAAAGGAGTAGATCCACCTTCTGCCTCGCGAAATCAAAGCCAAGGCAAGATGAAGTACAAGAAAGCATGCAAATGGAAACACATGTGCAAGCAAAAGAACCATCCCCTGTTCAAATTTAAAAGGATCAAGACCTGAAGCCTGGCAGCCTTAAAGGCTTCAAAGTAGCAAGGCATAGTGTCTGACAGTGAAACAAACATGAAGAAACCACATGCAAAGCAACTGCAACTCCCACAAATACGGCCTAGCTTTGCACTAGCCCACTTGTGATCCTTGCCCCCTGATGAAGCCAAATCCGAGCTTGAGACCTGCTGGAATTCCGCTTTGGCATCCAACAAGAGCTGGCACGCTTCTATCCTCTGTCCATGAATTCCATGCATCAGTGCCTCGGCTCTGTTCTGGTTCTCTGTGCGAAATCAGAAAGGCTGTACTCTTCTTTATCTTACCCGGCTTACCCGCCCATATTTGTATATATACATATACTTTTTTGTATATATATATATATCATAATATATAATATACACATACACATACATAGTATATATATATATACACCGTATATTTATATCATACTATACGCACTTGTTTTGAAAGGCTAGAGGGTAGGCACTGAAACGGTAGCTTCCAGCAGCTTGAGTGGCTACTAGGCTGGGATGCAGAACAAATTAAAGTAGTCTTCTTCTACAAGGAAACCGCCTGAGGCCAGCGGGGAGCTTCCTTGAAGAATGCTTCGCAGATTGTAAACTCAACCTTTTACACCTTGCTTCCTTTCTTTGACAAGGCGCACTCCAACCCTCTTGGTCTCTGATGTCGATACCCGCCTTCCTACATCAGTTGGCTCAGAATCAGAATGCCATCAATTTCAAAGACTGCCTTTTATCAAACTACTTATTTGGACATGGAAACAATAATTGGCCAAAGTCCTGTCCAGGAGCACTCTCACCACATCTGTGCGTCCCCTCGCCGAAGCCGCCATGAGGGCTGTAAGATTGGCGTTTCGGCCTGGTTCAAGACAAGCAAACAGTTTGGCCAACAATTCCATGATCAAATCAAAAGTGTCCATGTTGATTGATGCTTCGGAGCAACATCTTCCGAACATGGGCCCATCTTGGCCAAGTGGACCCCTAAGATGACCTATGTTCCGAGGATGTTGCCCCGACACGTCCAACATAGTAACATAGCATATGTTATGCACTTGTGATTAAAAATAAAAACACATACCTGCGCTGGTTGTTTGACGTTTTTTGGATGGTCCTTTTTTTCCGGTCTGTGACTGCAAACAATATTCAGCTTGAGGGCAGTTGAACCCAACATGCTGCAAGCTGGCGTCAATGGACCACTTTTCCGGGCCATGTTGCCCCAACTTCAGCCCCAAACAGGCCCCGATTGCTCCATGTTGGGACTAACTTGAGTGCAAGTTGGCACCATGTGGCCCTCAACTTAGGGCTACTTGGCCCCAACTTGGGCCTACGTTAGGGGAACATGGTCCAGAAAGGTGTTCCATCACAAATTTGTGGCATGTTGGGCTCAACAATGAATCTATGAATCAATCTGACGCACCATGCTGATACTATCTGGTGCGGGCGATGTTCGTCGCGGAGCGACATTAATATGACACATGTGATGTGAATCTCGAAAGCGTGAAACAGAAAGAAGGCCTTGCTCCACATTGCCATCAATGCGTACTCCAGCTCGACCAAGAAGCTGTTGCACATCATCAACTTCCCCAGCCACTGCTGCTGCTATGAAGCGCTCCTGGTTGGCTGCAGCTGTAGCTTTCATCTCATCTTCAGTGCCACTTGGGCCCAGTGAATCTTGAAGCTTCGCTCCTGGCTTTCCTGTGGCCAAATCAGGCCGCGTTGACTCGGTTTTCTTGTAGCCAAATGCATGCGCTTTAGACTCCTTCATGATGGCCCCTGCTGAGCGTCCAATGCCCCCTGCGTGCGCAGATCGGGGTGCATGATCACCAGGCAGAACCCGGCCAGTTGATTCGTCACCGGTTGGGAGTGGCATGCAAAGACTCACATCCTCTGTGTCTGGAATCTCGCTTCCACCCACCACACCAAACCCTAACAGCTCTTCTGTGTCTGTCTCCACTTTGAGCTCTGCTTTCGCAACTGGTCCTGGAGCAGGCTCTGCATCAGGCTCAGAAACTCGAATAGATCTGGAATTCACCCGTCGAACAGGAGAAGATGGCCCGTTCGTGGGTGGTCGCGGGACTCGTGGGACTGGTGCTTTTCGTTCTGGCATACACAGCTTTGCACCTTGAGGTCGACAAGTGGACAAGCTAGTACGCCCCAATCTAATAGCTTCTCGTTACTGGTAGCTACTTGCTCCTAGTAGTACGGCCAGGAGCCCCTAATAGCTTCTGGTTACTAGTTATAATCACATCAAATGCTCTCAAAACTCTAAAACCCTCTGCTTCTCTCTTGTCCATCTTGTCCCAAGTGTTCACACTCGCACTCTACTGAGCTGTCCACGGATAATGGGTGATTGGTCCGCTGTCCAAGTCTCATCGCCACCAATCATCTGGCCGTCGCTATCAAGGCGTAGGATGGTCAAGCCAAGGTCTGGGCGAGTAAGTGACTGCAATAGCATCTTCTGACACCTGTCTTCTCCTCAAGCAGGAGTCACTCTCAAACACCCCAATTCAGAACATCTCCAATACCGGATACCGGCTTTCAGAGGGGCCTTTCGAGGTGTATGTTGCTTTTCTCATCTGTTCTTTGACTTTCGATGACCTGTGCTGCCAGAAGGCCAGTAGCGTCCACTGAGATTATAACTTCCTCCGATTCCAGGCCCAGGTCAGGAATACTGCAAATTGCACTGTAGCAGGTCATATCCTGGCATAAGTGCTCAAAGCAAGAGACGCCTACCGGAATGAGGCTTGATACTGGAGTCGCTGGAGAAAGACTTCAGAGGTTCTGCTGTCAGAGCTTTGTGTTGAGCAGAGTTGTAGAGCGCAAAGCCCAGTCCTTCTCTTGGCAGGACCAGCCAAGCTCTTGACGTTGGGCTTTCACTGCCGCTGGTGCTGGTGGCTCCATCGATTCGTTGTGAAACCTTACATCTTCATGTATTGAAAGAACATGCTTTTCCACATGTAAATTAGAAATCAATTTGTCTTTATCAGTTCACTGATCGAGGTCCACACCGGTAGGACAAGCCACATTTTCCGAGACCTGGGGCCTCCCATCACAAGACCAGCACAAGTCAAGCAGCACCGGGTATGAAACTGGAGCCTGCAGGTATCCTTCAAAGACGGCTCCAGCCAGGTTTGCCATGTGCGTCTGATAACCCCAAGAGCTTTACACTTGACATACATGCTGTATCATGCTGTGCTATTGTATGTCATGCTGTGCATCTTGTGTCCACTTTGTTTTGCGTCCACATCTTCACTTGATGGGTGCAATGACTTTCGGCACGTATATCAGTCCTCTTGTGTGCGTTTGCAAACATGTCTCTTTGCTTGCATGACCACCGGTTAATGGACAACCACACTCAATCACGCTGCCAAAGCTAAGGTTGAAAAATTGTACTGAAGTCTCATGAGCAGCACACCTTTTTCGCGCTAACTTCAAAGGCGCTTCGATTGAAGCGGTCGGAATCGCTGTGCTCAAAGATGCCCTAGCTGCCCTAGCTGTTCAGCTAAGCAGCTGAGGTATTTCGAAAATCTGAAGACCTGTTGCATGCATGACTTGGGAAGAGATTCACAACATGCTGGTCGAAAATTTGCACTTCAGGCGAGTGGAAAATGCTCTGCGTCTAGTCAGCTCATGTCGTGCTGACATGGACATCTGGAATGAAGCGTGCAAACTTGCCGGTGTCTCATATCTCCAGCGGTCATTTTATGCTGCCGCAGCCATCCGGGCCAAAAGTGGAATAGGCTCTTGACTCTCCGGAGCAATCAAGGGTGGAGGATTCGCAGGGTCCACCTCAGGTCAAAGACAACAAGTGATGGTCCAAATCAAAAGTTCCAGAATGACTTGTTGAACCGGTGATGTTCCCATACTCTTCAACTTGCAAGAATTAAGGAACACACTGGTGGGTTGCTTGTTGCCTCAAGTTCCCAGGGCTTCATGTCTGCCCTTGCAATAGCAGCGCTAATAGCCTGATGTCATAGCTGACATGCCGGATCCGCACTCGACCCATGTGTTCCAGGATCGGGCACACAAACTTGCACCATTCGTGAAACATCTCACCTCTGCATGCTCTGGGCCAGGCATCTCTCCTTCTGGTGTCAAAACCAAGCCTTGGGTGGTCAGGCTCAGCTCAGGCTTTCAAAACCTTCCAAACGATAAGTAAATAGTAAATATGCTGGCAATGACTTCTGAGCAAACACACGCCACTGCTTGACCAAGATCCACACATCCACGATATGACAAGCCTGCTTTTCGCGCTGCACCTACCTGGGCACTTGTCAGCGATGCGAGTGTCAAGATTCAAGATAGATGATGTTGATGCATCACAATGTATCATGTTGTGTACAGTCGCATAGAAAAGGACAATCCACTGCAAGTCATCATCTGCCCCCAAGAGATGCCAACGCTCCTTGCAACTGGACTAAGATACTGAGAGATTATAGTAAGCAAAACATAGCAGAAAAAGGCAGAACACATAGCAAAGGAGAATCGTGAACCCTTCGGGCCGCTTTCAACAACTCCTCTGAAATGATGCCGTTGTCCACCACTGAAAAGTCCCAAAGGCCAGGCCTTGATTCTCACCATGGAAGTACTATGGTTGCCTTTGGGTCTCACCTTACATTCTTTTGAATTCTACACACACTACGCATTCCCTAAATTGCCAGCGATGCGCAATGCGGATTCTCCAGCTCTGAAACCGACCAAAACCGCTCACCTTGACGCTTCACAATGTTCACAAAAGGCCGCACCAAGGGCGCTGCGTCTCTTTCCGTCTCACACGGTAGTCACGGGTTCGCCAAATCTTCGCACCATCCAAGGCCTTTCGTCCAAGCGTTGACGCAACCGCCAAGCAGTAGCACAAACATGTGCCATGCCCCTCCACCAGAAAGGTAGTAACAAGAAGCTACTAGGAACAAGTGCCTTACTAGTAGTAACAAGTGCCTTACTTAGTAGTAACAAGAAGCTTCTAGCCATGCGCCTCCACCAGAAAGGTGGGGTGGTACCTCAGGCAACTCATGAACATCTGTGGACGAAGGGCTGGGAAGGGCATCAAAGGCGACGGGCCTGCGCAGCTGCGCAGTATCCAAAACCATTTGTCTAAGCTCAAAGCCAAAAGGTATTCCGTCCAGAACCTTTGTACCAAAGCTGATACCTGTGAGGGCAAATAACTGCAAATTGGAAGGGTCTCCACAAACATGTTTGACAAACAAAAGAAGATCACACCAGCATAGACCTCAGAGGCGAAAAATAATTGTGGGTAGCACCCAGCGTCACCCTGCAGTGGCACCCTGCCGCAGCACAAGCACACAGGCTCCAAAGTGCACACGGCCATACACATCTCGCAGCAGCAGCCTGCAGCAGCACCAGCACCCAGGCTCCAAAGAGGTACCTCTTCCTATACTTGAAGTAAGAACCCCAATAGCTCTCGCTATCTGGGCTTAAAACAACTTTTGCAACATGAGCCACAATAAGGCTTCCTTTCACATGTTGGGCACTGCAAGGCGAACTGTTCATAGGCGGGGTTTGATCCAGCTGCCACAAGCCAACTGTGGCGATGATTGTTACCTGGATCAAAATGCCCCACCAGGATGTTTTCTGCCAACTCATGCGTCATCGGTTGGCCTCTCAAGCATACTCATCGACTCGGTGAAGAGCAAAAGACTGCCAGGTTGACTGGCTGCAAGACTGTTGACCGTAATTGATTGGCACAAACAATTGAAGCACACCAATTTGGGCTGAAACCAACACTGAGGCCTCTGAAGGTCTCCAATGGCTTTGCCCTGGGTGTTTGAGGTCGCTCGATCTGAGAGTTCAACAGGTTCTGCTTCTGCAGGGCACACCTCAACAGCGCATAGGTTCCTGCCTTTCGTAAGTAAGAGCACTGAAGATTCCATGCTACCAGTGTCAAGAAAACTGGATCAAACTAGAAGACACATGAAGACACTCTATTTGGTGGAAAGGCTTTCATGCTACTCGTTCATCTCCACATAGAATATAGAGCAGGTAGTCCCTGTTAAGTGTTACAAGTACCCCAACGCAACTCTCACCATCCTGCTTCTGAGGTCTGGTTCTGAACCTGCAAACTAGCTGCAAAGAGAAGTCTGTAAAAGCCTGGCTCTGGTACGAGACGATGCAGCGATATGAGCATGACTGGTCTGCCAGGCCGCACCTGAAGCAATAGTGCTCTAAGGCCAGCGGTCTGGGGACAAAGTGAAAGAGATGAAAAACAGGTGTGCTCGTTGAAAAAAAACCCTTTCCGAAGGGCCCCTACCTTCTTTTGTCAATCTCTTTTTCACTTCTTCCCAAGACCACCTTTACACTATTTCTTTGAAGATCAGGACACTGGGACAGGCATGCCAAGCTTTGCAAACACCGCGGCTGCGTGAAGCAATTTCTGAATGCATCTTGGCACCGATCCTAGCATAGGAGTGTGATTTTTTCTGCAGACTGGAGTGTGACTGTCTTGCTGTAAATATGGGTATCTGTGGTATCTTCACCAAGGCAAATCCCTCTGCATCTTTGTAAATCTTGCCGATGCACGTTGCAAAGCATCTTTGGACAACTCTGCAACCCGATCGTCCGATCTTCCAAGAGTCTATAGCTCGTCCGATCGTCTCGGACGTGGGGACTGGACGCTGAGCAGCCATGGATGGTAGGCTTGTCACCTCGGAAAAAAGGAATCTAAAACTAAAAGGAACGTATCTGTCTTTTTTCCCGAAAGCATTGCGAAGGGTTCTTCCGGAAAATCCTTTGAACACTGACACTTTGCCACTGACACGTCGACACTCACACTTACACACACACACTGGAAGAGCGAAAGCATCCAAGTGCGAAGTATTGCGAAGTATGCCAGTGTCAAAGTATGCAAGTGTAAGTATGCAAGCATGCAATGACTATGCACAAGCATGCAATGAGTAGGCAAGTGTGAGCGTGAAATGTGAGCATTGAGCATGAAAAACTAGCACGGGAGATGTCCTAAAGTGAAAGACATTTCCCCACTTTATAAATTCTCTCTTGAAGGCGGAGGGTGGGACGAACAGCGTCAACCGAAAGTGCAACCCTCTGCGGAGATCGTGCGTGTGGAGTGCGCGAAGTGCAGGCGAGAGTGCGATTTGTCCGGTCCGCGCGCGACACTCTGCGGAGATCGTGCGTGTCGAGTGCGCGAAATGCAGGCGAGAGCGCCGCGCGCCGGGTGCCCGCGCAACCCTCTGCGGAGATCGTGCGTGTCGAGTGCGCGAAATGCAGGCGAGAGCGCGATTCGTGAAATTACCGTGCAACCCTCTGCGGAGATCGTGCGTGTCGAGTGCGCGAAATGCAGGCGAGAGCGCGATTTGTGAAATTACCGCGCAACCCTCTGCGGAGATCGTGTGCGTCGAGTGCGCGAAATGCAGGCGAGAGCGCGATTTGTGAAATGACCGCGCGACCCCCTGCGGAGATCGTGCGTGTCGAGTGAGCGAAATGCAGGCCAGAGCGCGATTTGTGAAATGACCGCGCGACCCTCTGCGGAGATCGTGCGTGTCGAGTGCGCGAAATGCAGGCGAGAGTGCGATTCGTTTAGCAGCGGAGCAAGCTGTGGAGCTGGAAGCTGAGAACTGGCGACTTTGTGGCACAACTTCAGTACGCGGAGTAGCTGGGGAGCTGGAAGATGAGAACTGGCGACTTTCGAGTGCAACTTTAGTACGCGGAGCAATCTGTAGAGCTGGAAGCTAAGAACTGGCGACTGTGTAGTACAACTTTAGTACGCGGAGCAATCTGTGGAGCTGGAAGCTAAGAACTGGCGACTGTGTAGTACAACTTTAGTACGCGGAGTAGCTGTGGAGCTGGAAGCTGAGAACTGGCGAGTTTCTAGTACAACTTTAGTACGCGGAGCAATCTGTGTAGCTGGAAGCTGAGAACTGGCGACTTTGTAGTATAACTTTAGTACGCGGAGTAGCTGGGGAGCTGGAAGATGAGAACTGGCGACTTGGTAGTACAACTTTAGTACGCAGAGTAGCTGGGGAGTGGGAAGATGAGAACTGGTGAGTGGGTAGTACAACTTGAGTACGCGGAGTATCTGTGGAGCTGGAAGATGAGGCGACTTTGTAGTACAACTGTAGTACGCGAAGTAGCTGGGGAGCTGGAAGCTGAGAACTGGCGACTTTGTAGTACAACTTTAGTACGCGGAGCAATCTGTGGAGCTGGAAGCTGAGAACTGGCGACTGTGTAGTACAACTTTAGTACGCGGAGTAGCTGTGGAGCTGGAAGCTGAGAACTGGCGAGTTTCTAGTACAACTTTAGTACGCGGAGCAATCTGTGGAGCTGGAAGCTGAGAACTGGCGACTTTGTAGTATAACTTTAGTACGCGGAGTAGCTGGGGAGCTGGAAGATGAGAACTGGCGACTTGGAAGTGCAACTTTAGTACGCAGAGTAGCTGGGGAGTGGGAAGATGAGAACTGGTGAGTGGGTAGTACAACTTGAGTACGCGGAGTATCTGTGGAGCTGGAAGATGAGCACTGGCGACTTTGTAGTACAACTGTAGTACGCGGAGTAGCTGGGGAGCTGGAAGATGAGAACTGGCGACTTGGTAGTACAACTTTAGTACGCGGAGTAACTGGGGAGTGGCCAGATGAGAACTGGTGACTTGGTAGTAGAATGACTTGGTAGTACAACTTTAGTACGCGGAGTATCTGGGGAGTGGCCAGATGAGAACTGGTGACTTGGTAGTACAATGACTTGGTAGTACAACTTTAGTACGCGGAGTATCCGGGGAGCTGGAAGGTGAGAACGGGCGACTGGGTAGTACAAGTTGAGTACGCGGAGTATCTGGGGAGTTGGAAGATGAGAACTGGCGACCTGGTAGTGCAATTTTAGTACGCGGAGCAGTCTGTGGAGCTGGAAGATGAGAACTGGCGACTTTGTAGTACAACTTGAGTATGCTTCATTCCAGCTCGCTTGTTTCAGTGAGATTTCCTGGAGGCGTGCACGCTGCTTCTCTCCTTACCAGCAGCCCAAATGCTCACGACGATGATCTGGGCTGTCACCGCTTGGCCGCCGGTGGGGGGTTTGGGAGGCCTGCGCGCTAATTCGTTCACTATATGTACAGAGAAGACCTCACCAGCAGCAGACATGGACATACACACACACAGACAGGGACTCACACACACATCACACACAGAGACCCACGCACTGCCTCAACTTACTCGGACACACACACACAGACAGAGACTCATATACACACGGACATAGATACACACACGGAAACCCACACACTACCTCAACTCACTTGACTTAACACTTCATACTGCACACTTAACAGATAACTCGCACTCAGACTTCCTACGTGATGAAAAATGCTTTCGGGCCACTCGTCGTCTAGTTTCTTTTTGTTATCCTTTTTTGAAGACCCTTCTCTCGCCTTTGCAAAAGAATTCCACCAGCATAGACCCAGATAGCTAGGCAGAATCCCACGACCTGTTGACATGCAACTGGCTGGAACAAGAATGTGCGCAGCCTGCACAGCCACCTGACGGCACCTCCCCGTCTTAAACGCACGCTCAGCCAGCTCACAGCGCCAGCACCCAGGACCCCAACACCAGCACCAGCGCCGACACCCTTTCGAAAGCGCAGCCAGCTCATTCTTATTTGCAGCAAGAACCCCATCGCCATCCCTATTTGGGAATAACAACATATGATCTTTCTCTCTCGAAGAGTTGATATAAGTTTATGCGCACAAAAGTATGCGCGCAAACAGCAAAGCCCGTAAGTGTCATTGGCCCAAGGCCAAGCAGTATCCAGCGCCACTATTGACTTTGTAGCATGCTTGAAGCAACGATCTGCAGAACGATCAGGCCGTATGATCTTGCGCGTATAAGTTTATGCGCACAAAAGTATGCGCACAAACGGCAAAGCCCGTAGGCTTCACTCGCCCAAGGCCAAGCAGTATCCAGCACGACTATTGTGTGCGTAGCATGCTGAAACATGCTGAAACAATGGTCGGTTGAGAGCCTGACGTTGCGCATAGAACATTATACGTAGAAAAGTATGCGCGCAAACAGTACAGCCCTTGACACAAAACCTGAAGAGTGTAAATACCCCACAGCGCTAATAGACAAAGAACGCTCAAGCGACAACACGCTAACACCACCGGCGCCGGGGCCGCTGTCTCTACCACACGCACTGCCAGCACCCAGCACCGGCACCATGTCTCCACCACACGCGCCCAGCCGGGTGCCGGTGCAGGCGCTGGTGCCGGGCGCCGGTGCCGGTGCTGGTGCTGTGAGCTGGTTGCGTGCGTGCTGGAGACAGGTTGCTGGTGCTGGTGCCGGGGTGCTGGTGCTGGTGCTGGGGCCGGGTGTGTGAGCTGGCTGTGGACATGGTGGAGACAGGTTGCTGGTGCTGGTG